TTATATCGATAAACGTAGTTTTCTTTTAAAAACCCTGGTTACTCCCAGTGAGGTATTTAGCTCCCCTTATATAAATAAAACTAATAAAAGAAAACGTGTTGAACTAAATCCTGAAGGTACTATTAATACCCTCCAGTAATCAAATCGGTTATTACTTTGAGGTTAGTCCACTTGATTCATTATTACAAAAGTAAATCTCTGTTACCTTCATTGCGAGTTTTATAACCAAACATCAACTTGATATGGCACGTATCGGGGCCAGTATCCTTTATGACTTTGTCACCCGTAGACCTGCCGGTCCCACTGTAGCTAGCAGCGAGGTGCGGGATAGTCAGTCCCGTATAGATCTATACACAACAGTCACACTCTCCCTACAAGAGATTCTGGTCATAAGTGCTGGTCCTACACTCTGATTCCGTGGTGAGTGTTACCAAGGACGTGTCTCCAAATTTGACTAACAAATTTACAAGTAATAATATAGAAAATCCTTTTATGATTAACATGCATCCTTTATAAAATGGTACATTTTACTACATGATTCATAAGTTCATTGTTCTAGTTTTGAAAACTGTTTCTACAAATTGATTTCTTAATCGTTTGGTAAAACTGTTTTCCGTGTTAAAAGCATACTAAAAATATAATTATCTTAAACAAAATAATATATTTTGAGCACAAGTTTCCTTGTGCTTTTGCTTGTATTCCCCCGCCCCCTGAAAACATGAAAAACTCGGAAAAACGTAGGGGTATGAACTCACCTCGGGAGATTCGAATGAAAGATCGATACGGAATGCGGAATGTTCAAGTGAAGCCTTGAACACGATCTGATTAACATGTAATGACACATAAAGGAGTCAAATGAAGGTATTTCCCTACTAAATATGATGGAAAACCACTCTAAGAACTTGGGACTACTTACACTAAGTGCTAGGACCTTAAAGGATTGTATGTGGGAGGTGTATGGCCACCTTAAAGGGGTGTACGGCCATGAGTGTGCGGCCCAATGGGTCTGCGGCCGTACACTCATGATGGAAGGTACTTTTGAGGTGTTTTCGAGGTCCATACTTGCATCCATGAAGTGTCCTAGGTCCATACTAAGTTGTAGTACAAGTTTAGGGTCTTAGATATGGGTTTGTGGTCCTAGGGTGAGTGTGTGGTCGCACACAGGAGTCTGCTGCCGCACACAAGGAGTGTGCGGCCGTACACAGGTGTGTGCGGTCGTACACCCTACATGATAATGTCCAAAAAGCCAATTCTAAGGTGTAGCAAAGCTAGGTTCATGTCCAACTCGAATATGGAAGTCCAAATCTCACTTTGGAGGGTCTTTTAGGAGTGTGAGGCCACCTTACGTGGGTGTGCGGCTGCACTCCTTCAAAGAGATGAAGAACATGACGGGACTCAATGATTATAGGCTTAGATTAAGTGGGTTTTCAAGCACAACTAGCTAAGGGGATGGATTACTCACGTTTTTGAATCCTTGGGAAGGTTTGTGGTTGAAGAGTCTTGAGAAAAAAGGTATTGTGTGCTGCCAGGACGTTAATGGAATGAAAGGAAAGGGGTCTACCCTTTATATAGGGATGAGTGTATGTCCATGAGGGGTGTGTACGGCCGTACACCCATGTGTGCGGCCGCACACTCCTCCAAAAGGGGTGTATGGCCGAATTTCGTCCCTATACGACTAGTTGACTCATTCCAAATCTCGACATTGGTTGTACTCAAGCTTAGAACGCTTAAACGAACCCTTAATCAGTGCTAGGAGTTAACAGAAACGAGTTTAACTTAGCTTAACTGACTAGATGTACCAGGTAGAAGTTTCGGGTTGTCACAATAGTTATAAAAATATTGAAAAAAATTACATAAGCATTATAATTTTATATTTCATAAATGAAAAGTTATTAAATATTTAATAGAAATAAGTAAGTAGTAAATAAATAAATAAAATATTTAAAACTAAAATATATTTAAGAAGGTAAAATGAAATATAGTTAAAGTATAAGGGGTTAACCTAAAAGTATATTGACCACTCAATATATATTGAGTGGTGAACAAAAAAAATCAAATAAGCTCTTTGCTCCGATGGTAATAAGTGATTGATCAATAACAATAAGCTTTAAAAAAGTCCCTATTAGAGATGCTCTAAGCTTAATATTGGATAAATACAGATTAATTCGAAGCTGAGATGATTAAGGAGAAGATTTGGATAAAGATGGAGTTGATATAGATTAAATTTAAAGCTACCATAAAACATGGGCTTAGCGTCGCAATAAACGAGGTTAGCGTCGCAAATAGGCTTAAAGATACGAGAACCATCACGACTATAATGCACAACGCTGTGAAGATAAAAGCGTAACAGAGTGACATTTTATTTCCATCCATACGAGATTTTGCAATGCAATTCGGTGTGCAGAAAAGTAGAGTTCTCTGCTATGAAAAATAAACCCTATGAATCGTTTTCAAGGTCGAAGAACAAGAAGAATACATTTTTGTGAATATTAAAGTAAAGAAATTGAAGAAATCGATAGGTTTGCATTATAAAATTAGCATTATTTTATCTATTGTATTCTGTTTTTCTATGGAGATGATGGGATAAAACCCTCTCTTCTGGTTAAATTTGGATGAACCTAATTATTATAGTGTGAATTAAGGGATATATACAGTAAAGTCCCAATATTTTCATCGATTTGACAAGAAAGTCCTAAACTTTATTTTTTTGGCAGTAAAGTCCAAATTACCGACAGTTTTTGACACTTTTACCATTTTTTCCCGGTTAGCCGGTAATTAGGACTTTTTTGTCAAAAAAAAAAATAAAGTTTAGGACTTTCTTGTCAAATCGTCAATTAGGACTTTACTGTCAAAAAAATAAAGTTTAGGACTTTCTTGTCAAATCGTTAAAAATATTGGGACTTTAGTGTATATATAATTTTTTTGGTTAGAAATTTAATGATATAATACTCTTTAAACATAAGAGTTATTAAAACCTTCTCTAATCAGCTAGATCCTATTAAAATCCTTCGTTTTTTTAATCTCAACAAACCGACATTGAAAAAAGTTGAGATAATCAAGAAAGAAAGAAAGAAAGAACCAGGGTTCGGTTTCTTATTTCTCCATTTTTGGGACTGCAAAAAGCCAACACAACCCTGGTTATTTCTTTCTTTTTGATTATCTCCATTTTTTTCAATGTTGGTTTGGTGAGATTAAAAAAACGATTAACAAGAAACAAATGTTAAGGATTTCAATAGGATCTAGCTGACTAGAGAATGTTTTAATAACTCTTATACTTAAAGAGTATCCTACCATTAAATTTCTAACAAAAAAAAGGAGATATACACTAAAGTCCTATTATTTTCAACGATTTGACAAGAAAGTCCTAGACTTTATTTTTTTGACAATAAAATCCTAATTGACGATTTGACAAGAAAGTCCTCAACTTTATTTTTTTTTGACAAAAAAGTCCTAATTACCGGCTAACCGGGAAAAAATGGTGAAAGTGTCAAAAACTACCGGTAATTTGGACATTACTGTCAAAAAAATAAAGTTTAGGACTTTCTTGTTAAATCGATGAAAATATTAGGACTTTAGTGTATATATCCCGTGAATTAATGATTTGGATTTATAAGGTTGATTATTTATTATTTTTGGATTGATCATTCTACGGATCTTTGTTATAGTTTGGATTTTTATTGCTTGCATTGAGTTTTATATGATTTAGACTATCAATTTGTTAATATGAATTTGTATTTTAATTGGTTTGTGATAATGCTAGTATGTTTTAAAGTTTAATCAAATCATAGACACCAATATTTATCCTCATTATACTACTATATGATCAGATACAATTAATGTTAGTATGTTACTCTGTAGCTGAGATAATTGAGACTTTATAAATTTAAATTCTGTACACATTAGATATCAAGTTGTAACGTACTAAATGTTTAAAACCCAATTTTTATTTTAGAAAACATAAATAAAACATCAATTTTCCATAAAGATAGAATAACAAGTGTCAATGCCAGAAAATCAGTCACAAAACAATGTATCATAAATAGTGGATATCAAAACATAATCATCAGCAAATGCATGTGCACTACAATCAATACTCGGTGGATTTTTTGTTCCATCGTAACACTAGATATTTTGGTTAGCCGATTCTCAACGCCGGCGTGCTTTAACTAAGGAGGAGAAATTCAATCATACACATGCACAACTAAGAAATATCATTGAACATCCTTATGGTGTTGTTAAATCAAAATTCTAATTCTAAAGCAAATGGATCCTTATCCGTTTACACTACAAAGAAATGTGGTGTTTGCTTGTTTGCAATACATAAATTCATGAGCAAAAGTAATATTCACGACCGAGGGCGATGAAGATAGTATATTTAACAATGCAGAAGATGTTTTAGAATGTGGAGTAGAATCGTATAGAACACAACATAGAATATATATATATATATATATATATATATATATTATAGATATTATATATATATATATTATATATAATGTGCATGATGAGATTGCTAATCTATTATAAGGATTAACTGGATTTATTTTCATATTAAAACTTATTATAAATAAAGTTAATTATTCTGTTATTTAAATTTTCTAATTATTGTGATATTCTACAATTATATTTTATAACAATTATTAAATAAATAATAATTTTTAATTTTTAAACAGTAAAATAATCATTTATTCAGATTCAATTATTACAATCGATTAAAAAATTGTATCGCAGTCTATCAATTCTCAGTCGACTTTATAAACAATTCTCAGTCGACTTTAAAAATTTATCTTTATCAAAGTCCATATCTAACAAAAAAACAAAATTAGCAACGAAGAAGCAATATTTATTAATCTATTAATAAACATAAAATTTTTATTTTAAAATTAAAAGCAAATGGTAAATGGTATAACGATTTGGGGAAAGAAGAAAGAAAAACATTTAAAATGATAAATAAAAAACTAATGAAAGCAAAAAACGACTGACTCGTGTTAGTCAACCTAGCAAAACCAAGCACCATCGTTCCCGCCGGTGATGTTACTGGCCGGTGGTATCTCGAAATGCCACAATCGTCCAACAGCATGCTTTAGGTACTTCTTACACAAGAACTCATTCGCATAAGCTTTCTCCACCTTCCGATTAACATCGTGTAAAAACACGTGCGTCACGCCGGATTTTTTCCTGTTCCTCGCCATCACAGTGGCGGAGTAAATCGCAGCCATCCTCCCCGGCGCCTCCGCAAAGTAACCCCTCGGCGCATCTATCATTATCATGTCCCACTCCTTATTGTACACCTCCTCAGGCAAACTTGTGAGTGCTAACCTGCATCTGGTGTTTCCCTGGATGTAAGATTTGGATGGAGAACATTCCGGTTCCGATCGATACGTATTCATAAGCTCGTCGGCCTCGGAGAGCTTTGTCCGGTACTTAACGACGGCGGCGTTGAGATCTGGAGCGTCTTTAAGAACAGTCTGAACCCACGTCGGATCTTCTTCAAGGAAAAGAGTTTTTCCACCGGTGTTAAACGATGCCCACATCAATGAATCATGACCGAGCCCAAAAACGAGGAAATTACAAGGGGAAATCGATCGGAGAACGTCGAAGGAGACGGTGATTTCGGAGAAGGATTGTTGAGGGACGATTCGAGAAGTGGCGTAGTGGAGGATGGCTTTGAGTTGCATCGGAGCCGTCATGGGATGGAAGTTATCGGAGGTGGGCTGGTTGCAGAAGAACCGAGTGTTATCGGGGCCGATGAAGGTGAATAGAAGGAGGCCGGCGCCGATGAGTGCGATGGCAGATATTGCGAGGAAGAGCCTCCGTTCAGGGAGGACTGGTAGATTGCTTTTCATGGTTTCCTTTTTGAAGTTTTCCGACCAGTGAGAAAGAGATTTGAAGATCCAAGATTTGGGTTTATAGACGATTGGTGAGAGACTTGAGAGACGCGTTCAACAAAAGATAACGGCGTCAAACAGAACACTACTGGTCATTTCATCTCAACTCTTAAATTTTAGATTTTTTTTAGTTTTAAAGTTAATATTTGTAATTTGATTTTTGTATAGATTGTTATCATAAATATCTACAAAGTCGTCATCAAGTTCAACCATAGGTTTAACCACATGTGGGCATAGATTATCGTTGACTAAACTTTTTGCGATCTATATTCTTCAGATGTCATCGAAATTAACATATTTAAGGCGTTAACCTACCAAATTTACATAGGTGTTGATAATGGCACGGGCACGGATGTTTCGTGTAAACATCCTATTTATTCCGCACAATCAATTAAAAATATACTGTATAACATTTTAATTTGATGTCTTTCTATTTGTATAAAATTTAATATGGTAAACACATAATAATGTAATTATATATGCAATTATCGCGTTCAAAATTTCAATAGGGGTCACAGGATATTTGAAATCGCGGTTTTCGCGATGATATAGCGGTGCTATAGCGGAATTTTTTTAATATTACATATAATTTAATAATTGTATATTATATTTAGAATTAATATCATAAAACCTAAAAAGTCTACATAGAATTAATATAATAAAATCTAAAAAGTCATATAAAAACATTATATAATATTCAAAATTCTAATTCTAATATAGTAATATAGAAACTACGTAGTATCAAAGTGTCGAATAGAGTTTAATCGCATGACACGGTTCGGCTTCCGAGTCAACATGATCCAAGGCATTCACTTCTTCTTCAAGATTATTCCCCACATCTCTAATATCATCATCATCATCATTGTCTCTATAACGCTCTCGTTTGCTCATAACATTTGGCTGAGCGTCTACATTCGCTCCCATTGCTTCTTGCACATCTGACCAAAGAAGGTCATCACCACCATCCACAAAGTCTTGAAGCTCATCTTCGGTTGGTATTGTCCAATCATCATTCTCCTCAATATCTCGTAGCAAAATAGGATCCAAATATTTATTTTGTAAAGACATGAAGCGCTCTTGCAACCTTATGTTGTATTGGATGAATACAATTTCATCAATTTTTGTTGCAAAAGACAATTTCTTTTTATAAAATGTAGCTGCAACAAAAGAATTAAAAATATTTTAGATAATATGTTAGATGTTCCAATCAAACTAATATCATTTGTAAATTATAATTATAAAAATACTTGTTAAAAATAGGTAAAAAAAACTTACATTGTCAAATGTACTCCAATTTCGTTCACAAGGTGAAGCACTACAAGTTTGACTAAGAACCGTAATAGCAAACTTTTGTAGGATAGGTGTATCTATCCCATAAGAACGCCACCATATATCTACATTTTACAAAAAAAAAAAAAAAAAAAAAGGTTGCTAAGTTAACAAGAATTAAGAAATAAAAACATTTGATTACATTATAATTTTTATACTTACACGGTGCAACTTTTTTCATACTCCTTTTAGCAGTTGGAGATCCAAATTGTCCATTTAAATTAATGCATAGATTCAATTCTTGTCTCAAAGTATCATTTTCATCTTCATCGGGAACAAGATGGTCAACAGCAACATAATTTCCCATCATAATCTGTTTATTGGCCTCATATTCCTTTGACTTATCTCCATGAAAAATTGCGGGGTTAAGGAAACACCCAGTTGTACATTACGTCATTCACTAAAACGTTAAAACCGAATAATTGCATACTATGTTAAATTAAATTAATAACTAATAAGTAAAAGATTTATACCTGAATGTAAGGGATGAAGAAGTTGGTCATTACTTCTTGTTTGAATGATAGACAAAATTCTACCTACCAGTCTTTTTTTGTCATTATTCTCATCATTTAGATTTTTGCTTATTTGATCTTGCGCTTGACTCATCGCATCATAGATGTATCTCATGCACGGTCTTTCTTCGGTGTCAACCAAACGAACAATATCCACCAATGGAGCAGATATTTGGCAAGCTAAATATACACCATCCCAAAAAGATTACTTTGCTACTATCTTTTCAACTCTCTTTCTAGGAGCTTTCTTTGCAAAGTCATTTTTTCTCCATTGCTCAGATACAAACAACACTTGGAGATGGTGTCGATTCTCATGGACACTCTGTAAGGTGTAAAATTGGGTAGCAAATCTAGTTACACAAGACCTGTGCAACTCTCCATTCTTTGTCAACTTTCTCATCATATTTGTTACACCCCCGAACCAGGACGGCGGAAATGTCCGGGGGCGGATGACATCTTTGTATAGTACCATAACAGTTAAATAAAAATGAAACATAGCAACCCAAGCGACATACATTGAGAATACAAACTTACATAGTTTCCATATTGTACTTCTTCATATGTTACACAAAAGTGACAAAAAGTAAAATTTCATAATGCTGCATCACTTGATCTCAAAACATAGTTGATTACATGTTACTGGTTCCCTGAGAATACAAGTCATTTTGAAAAGCGTCAACTTAAAAGGTGGTGAGTTCATAAGCATTTTTGTATAAAAATGGATTTGTAACTGTTTAAAATGATTTTCGTATACTTTCAGAAAATCCGATATTTTCTATAAATTGTGTTGTTAGTCTTATATCCAAAAACTAAGAAAAATGGATGTATGACTTTTGTATCTTTCCTTGTAAAATGATAGTGTATGTATCTTCCAAGAAAATCCAATATTTTCTTATAAGTAAACTGTAGTCTTAGACCCTAAGACCCGGTATGCAAGCAATTGTGTACTGAAAATGATATGTAGTTTTATATTTTTAATAAACCAGTGAAGAGTAAGCTTCCCGTAAACCAAGATAGTATTGTTAATCCCTAAGTGAGTTATTATAACCATGCTAAATGTGACTTTTATGCCTGTATGATGTTCTTCAGACGTCGGAATCGGTAAGATACTTGTCACCGTAGATTGGCCCCGTCTAGCTGTAGCGAACAGCTCAGGTGTGGGGTTGTAAATCCACGTATAGATCTATACACAACTATCTCTCTCTCCCTCTAGGGGACTCTGGTTATAATGTGTAACACTAGTCAAAATAGGTCAATAAGACAATCACATGTGATTAGGCCAATCATGAAATGTGATTTTGTTAAACTAGTAATGTGATAAGAGTGCTATGTAATTCATGATAAATTCTAAGAAAAATATGAACTTTCTTTATGATACCACTCAAAGTATACGTCCATACGATTCCAAAAATATAGAGAATGCCTGAATCTGACTTCGCATGAAGAAGTTATGATAAACCGAACACTATAAATCTCTATAATAAGGGGAATTTAAAATAGACTTAGAATTAGCTATTGGAGTCTAAAAGAGAGTTTTAGTACTTGTAAATACCTACGCGTGCATATAAAGAACGACAAAAACGGAGTTCGTATGTGAAAGTTACGACCTTTCGAAGATTCAACTGTCAGAAACCCTAATCTGACTGAGTTCACGACGTGAGCACAGAACTCACGACGTGAGGAGTCATTTATCCACATCTCGGAATCTAGAAGGTGTGTGACGAGGCTGCGAAGGGATAAGATCCAAAATCACGACGTGGGCAAGGATATCTCACGACGTGATGAGTCACACGGCCACCTTCCGAAGCTAGGGACACAAATGGCAAGTCTACGGGGATGAGATCCAAACTCACGACGTGAGACTATAAAACTCACGACGTGAGAGTACAAAATCCTTACTATAAATAGCAGGTCCGACTTCAACTATTCTTACACCTGAACTTCTTTCTCCTCTCTCCTTTGCTGAAGCCATCTTGTATCTCGAGCCCCGACGACCTCGTACGTTTGACCGTTTCTGCTTAGATTACATAAAATCACGCTACTAGGGTGACTTTCACAGCCCCACTTTCTAATATTTCGGGGGAAAACGCATGCTAAATATTATATATATATACGTTATTATTATATCTATATGATAGTATATTAGCATCAACGTAGATAGTTATAATAACCGGGATATAGTTATTTCGTATTTGAAAGTATACAACTATCGTAAAGTTGTTAGCATGTTATTGTTATAGTAGTATACTAATGTAGATCTTGAGTTATACTTAGGATTCTATATATATGTTGTGTGCGATATAGTTCCGAAGTTATATTCGGAAGTTCTATATGTTAATTTATAAAGTATGTTGTTATTGTTAGTTTTATGACAAGATAAAACTTGGTATGTTATATGTTGTTGTTGTTATTGGTTTTATGTCAAGATAAAACCTGGTTTTACTTCAAGCTATAGCTGTTATACTGCCTAAATGTTATGAAGTTAGGAGTAATGTTTAAAAGCATAGTCTAGTAATTTAGGGTTTTAGACATGAAGATGCTTTTGTTGTTAGAGCTATAGGAAGCCGTCGAAGTCTACATGAGTAATTGTATTCATCAACTAAGATTGGGGATCTTAGCGGAAATCCTCTGAACTGTAACCGTTAATCCCGTGTGAGCGAGGAAGTCGTGTATAATTAGTATACGGGTTGACCACCCCACTTGTGACTGTTAGCTACAGTCAACCATAAGCAAGTGACGAACTATCCTTTTACATGTTATTGTTCTGGCGTCGATGAAGCGTACGGTGTTGTTCTCATGGAAATCATGAGTGTATTATTTCTCATGGAAATCATGAGTGTATTGTTTCTCGTGGAAATCGTGAGTGTGTTTTATCAGAGGTATTGTGTCGTAGCAACGGTTACAGGCTCATGGTAGCAAATTGTTAGAAACATTATACTTTGTCGTATACAAGTATTAATGTTAAGTATAAGTTTCCCCCTACTTATACCCTAGGTACTACTTGTGTATTAAGTAGATAATTATACCTAACACACATACTCGTATAGAATTGAAGTAGATTTATACGTAGCGGTTTTACTTGTATAGAATTGAAATAAGATTTATACGTAGCAACTT